GTCAATTCTAAATCAAAGAATTACAATGGTTAAATCATGTGCATGTCTGAAGTGTGCTTACTAAAAATACCCTTATAGGGATCTTTTCATAGTATCTAGTTCATTACTTCCTCGTTCCTGATTTCGCGCAACTGCGTTGCGCAGCTACTTATTAATTATTAGGATTGATATGAAAAAATCTGCATTTGGCGGATTTATAATATTGCGCACCCTAGCAACGCGCCCTATAATTTAAACACCGGTATATATGTTTTTTATATTAATTAGATAAATATAAAAAAAAAAGATCTGATTCAAATCTGAATTTTCTTGTATGCCATTGATTTTCTATTCCCGATTATGTTTATTATAGTTACTGTATATAGTCCATGAATTGTTTGAAATCGGCAAAATAAAATTAGAGCTTGTGTTTTAAGTCTTGGTGACGAATCACACGGGTGCAATTCTAGTTATTTATATAAAATAGATATTAATCCAGTAAAATATTTTTGTTGATCATAGTTCAAAATAGGTGTCCAGGATTATGTGATGCGAATTTTTTACTTAGATTATGAGTTTTTATGTCAACTATGCGATTCTATATCCTTCGAAATAATTCTAATAATTCGGATTTTTGTCAGATTTAATTACTCCAACCTTCTGCATCGGAAGTTTTCAGAACTGTCTTTCTTTGTTTCTAAAAACCACTCATCAAACGCTCTTCCGCCAATCACATCACACCTTCGTGACTATTATGGTTTTTTTTTTTCCTTATTTATGCGATGCGAAAAATAGTCAATTATGCGCATAATTTCGAATCGCATAGTCCTGGAAACCCTATTTCAAAATCTGATTATCATTACTGTTATTACTATTATCATTATTATTCGTGTATGGCCGGTCTGGAGATGTGACTTGATCATAATTTTATTTATATATGTAAAGGAAATTACTATTTATATCCCACTTTTGCTATTTATACGTACCTCCCTCCGATGTAAAATAATAATAATAATAATAATTTTAGTCACTTGTCATACGTATGACAGTTGTGTGGCATTGATACATGAACTTGCTCAATAATAGGAAAAGGCAAATTTTAATTGAAATATTATGTGTTAAATGCCATCGTTATCTCTGTACTTTATAGGAGAGGGGTATGAATAGCAAAAGTGGGAGGTACTTACAAATAGCAATGCCCATCCTTGTGTCTAAATTAATAAGTTTTAAACATGGGAGGTAGGAATAGCAAAAACGGAGGTACAAATAGTATTGCCCTATGTAAAAACCGGTTTTTACATATAAAATTTATGGTCGGGTCACATCTCTAGGCCATCCCTGTTAATTAAATTTGTTTAAGCCACTAGCGCTAGTTGTAAATAGGATAATTAAAAGCAAGAATCATCAGATATTTAAGGCTTAAAATTCTCGTGTGATCTCAATCACACGTTTATGCAATATCGATATATCCCGTGACAGAAATATCGATATTAAGGAAAAAAATCACACGATCATTCACATATAGGGTAACGATATACGTACTCAATAGGGTGTTGTACTCTGATCAGCAGTTACATTAATGCAAAAACAAATTGAAATTTAACAGTTGCACGAACGTACTTATATATTCGTAGCGGTAGGTGGTAATTGCCAAAGCCTTAACTTACAAATCTTTTACACTCGAATATAAATTAAGATTTTTGTCAAAATGCCTGGTTTTAGCAAAGTTTCATATGGTACACCAAAGAATTTATTTTACAAAAGAATAGAAAGAAATAATAATAAAAGTGTTAAACGTTATTCCAATACTCAATTTATTGGTTTCGAAACTTTGAAAAAAGCTCTTCATGTAATTGCAAATGATTCTAATTTAGACGTTTCTCTAAAATCATTTAACAATAATAATATTGTAACTATAAAGGAAATTATAAATGAGGTATGTTTTAATATTAGGGGGTTTCAAAATTAAAAATCAGACACCTATTTCGAAAAAATAGATGTATTTGTTTCAAATAAGAGATATATAAATTCTATTTTATATTAAGTGCAAGCTTTTTATTCAACGACGCTTTTACAATTGTTATTTTTTTTAAGCTACATTTCCAAAAAAGGATACATATTTCATAGATTTAAACATTTTCCGATTTCAAAATTTTAAATTACAAATCTGATTTTTAAACCACTACTCATTTTACTCAACGTTATAATGGAACTAAACTTAATTGCAATAAACGCATTTTCTAATTCAATAAACATAATACCTAAAATCATCTAAATTTATTATAATATTCTTTACGATGCGTGCAAATATTTATAGTATTAGAAGACATTAATTACATTATCACTAATTTACAGAAATTACCTATTACGTAATTGCTTTTAGTCTAAAATTTTCCATAACATCGGAAATAATAATATAAAATTCAATAATAAATATAATTTATCTATATTATTAGCTGTTTTGCATCCGTTTGTTAAATTATTTTTACCAATATTAGTTGCATTATTAGAATTAGTTCCAATATTAGTTGAATAATTATTATAATTAATTCCATCAAATGATACATAAATTTTTTGACTATTATTAAATGGATTTGTTAAAGATAGGCACCACTTCATATTTTCTTGATTTGACGAAGGCAATCCCATATATTGTGAATCACATTGAGAAGTAAAACTTTCTAATGTACCACAATAATATGTTTCATTATAAAGTTTGATATTATTAAGATCAGTAGTAGTATTTGGTAATGCTGAACTTGTGACAAATGAATCTATTGAAAAACCGTTTCCATGAATACGATCTAGTGAGGGATCTCCAGTAACATAAATTCCAAATCCCGGAGTTACAGGTACTGAAAAATCAACAACTTCAATGCTAAAATCTATAGAAATATGTTGATGTTTATTTTAAGCGCGCTATAATATATTTAGGGATTGAAAATAATCAACTTACTTCGATTAGCTATAGCTGCTATATCAGTAGTACAATTCAACCATCCTCCCTCATATTCGGGAAGTAAAATAATTCCAGATTGAGCTGTAATGCTAGTAGTAAAAATCTTTATTATTTAATAAAGTAGTACATAAATCTTAATTAGATGTTTGATAAAAACTAATATCTAGAATTTCGTATAGAAATACTTTACCTGAAAGATTAGAATTATGAGCTTAAAATTCATCTCTATTAAAATGAGGTTTTATCAAATATATTCTTTATAAATTTTCTTGTTCTAAATTATTTAACAAAATCTTAATATTATGTATTTATATATTTTTACGATTGAAATCCTGCATAGAGGTCACGCAAATTATATTGGCATTATTGTAATAAAAAAACTACAGTGCATGCTCTTTACAAAATATATAATCGTTTCACAAATTTTATACTGCTAAATTAAAGTGCTTTATTTTTTTTTTAATATGGTTATGAAAACAAGGATAATACGTACTACGTAAGGGTTTTAGGGTTTGAAACAAAAGTTAACACGAAAAAAAATAATGATTTACTAGCGTTCATTCTACGTATATAAATGCAATTACTATTTAAGGAGTGTGACATGTAAATATTGACAATAGTCACATTTGGGATAGATACAAGATTTTAGTCACATTAAGTGATTATGTGAAAGTACATTATAATAACAATAATAGTAGATTAATAATGTATTAAAATATTTCTGTTACACTTATACTTTTAATTCAAAACTGTATTGCGCTAATACATTGAATTTAATGCTCTCCCTAAATCTACAAATAAAACCATCTCTCCTGTTCAATTTTCTCCAAATCTCAGTAAATTTATTTTACTTTTATATTAAAATTTATAGAAATTTATTAGAATCATTTATAATTCCAATGATGATTTTTCAAATCGCCCTGTTTTCTTTTTTGTTACAAAGTTCAGTAATATTTTTTGTCAATTGTCAAAATTTTCCTGGTCCTAGAATGATGCAGGCTAGTGCTTTAGTTGGAACTAAGTTTTATTTCTTTGGTGGCGTTTCAAATGTTTTAAATATAACAAATGAAGTATGGTATCTTGATTTATCGAATTCAAGCTTATTTGATACAGCCACACCCACATGGCATAAAGATATTGGAATGCCGCTGGGATATGCTTTAGGTTCTTCATGCGTAAGCCCTAATAATAATTCTGCCGTTTTTTTATTTGGTGGAAGGCAGTTTCTTCCAAATACGATGAATGCTACCATTCCTTCGCCTTTATATAGGTTTGATCCAAATAATAATTCACTATGGACATTACCAAATATTACTAATTTTAATAATAATTTTACAAGACGTAATGAAATCCAAGCAGTTATTGTTAATTCAACAAATGTTTTTATTTTTGGTGGAGTAAATGATAATATTAATTTAAGCGACACTTCACCTTACATTTATTATAATGATATGAATATACTCAATATTACTACAATGTCTTGGTCAACCTTAGCTACACTCCAAGCTCCTCCTCCATGTGTTTCCTATACTGCTACACTATTGCCAACTGGTTTTATCGTTTACATTGGTGGTAATAATCATTTATCAGTTAATAACAGTTATCCCGTTAATATGAGTGAGGTATGGTTATATTATATTATTTAATTTTTTCTTATTATTTGATTTTAATAACTTAATTAAATACTGTAAATATAGATTCGAATGTTTGATACAAAATCTTTAATTTGGTCTAATAAAGTATGTACTTAAAGAATATTATAAATATTATAGATGTTAATAATTAAAGTTAACTGTTATCAATCTTATTAATTTAGTCTGCTAGTGGCAGTTTTATTGAGAGTCGTATAGGACATTCGGCTGTCTTAGGTTAGTATTTTATATATATAACGCTAAATAAACTATCAAACTTTTTTGATTGACAATTTATTTAATTAATTTCATTAATTTTATTAGATCCATTTGATAATATCATAATTTATGGAGGTTCAAAGAATAATCAATCAGGACCGCGAGTTCTTCCTGATCTTGCAGTCTTAAATACAAATACTTGGGTATGGTCTATACCAAATATCCCTCAGTCAAATACTCCATATCCTCTCACTTTTCATTCCGCTGTATTGTATAAAAATTATATGGTTGTAGCGTTTGGTAAGTATTCGGATATTTAAGATTTCATTTTGACGACAAATAAATTTTCTAATATTCAATATTTATATTAGGTATTATTCCTTCGACATCAGGATTTTTAAATAATAAAGTTTATGTTCTTGATATACAATTGTAAAAGCGTCGTTGAATAAAAAGCTTGCACTTAATATAAAATAGAATT